AAAAAAAAAAAACATGCTACTAAATACTTTACATAATCCGGGGGCACGTCGCACAGTGGGTGAAAAAAAGAGGTCCCCTTTCATAGGATTTTTGAAAAAATAAAAATGTTTATTATCCGTTTAAGGTATGCGGTTTTATTGGACATATCAGTACATTGAATAATAAAATAGTTTGGGGAATTTCCTTTTAATCTAACACCATAAAGCACGGGCTTTAGAGTTTCAAATGTATGAAAACGGAATTTGTTTTGCTCATAACTTGTATCGGTCTTCTACGGTCAAGCTGAAACTTATAGGGATTATTACCGGGTCTGTTACGAAGCCATGTGACCTTTGACCTTCACCCCGGACGGCCCCGTTCAAAAGATACGAATTTTTCAAAATGCTTATTAGGGTAATTTTGCTTTACGGGGTTATGTGTCTCAATAAACAGTTTGTTTATGTTTCTTGCCCAGCATTTAGTTATTAATATAACACAGATTATTATCTAATAAAACTACACAGTAGATAACGCCACCATACAACTTAACTTTAAATAAAAGCGTCCTTATTCAAAAGATATGGAATTAATATAAATAGATAAAAGAAATAGTTTTAAGAAAAAGAAAACAAGAATACAATATTGTAAAGAATTACAATGAAGTCGTTTACAGCCTACAATTTAATCTTTTGTTTGACAATCGCTTAAAAGCCGCGCGCCATTAACGAGAGCATCATTACATATAAACAATACAAACTCTATTGGTGCAGGTTTTGAGGAATTCAAAGGGTTACCCACAGTCATTACCTGCCGTTGTTTGCCTATAATAATTAATTTTGTCAAACAAACATACTTACACTTACAATGTCTATCTAAGAAAGGGTTTGATCAAATATGTTTATTTTGGGATACCTAGAACTTTAACTGACTAAGCTTAAAATGAACAAAGTGTTTTTCCAGATAAACTAGCTGGTTATTAATATTAGTAAATGTAGTAAGGGAGATTCTGATATGTTACTGCCAAACGATAAAATAAACTATTTACATTATGAATAAAACAAAATTATTAACATCAATATTTTTATTTACAAAACTTAAATTAGTAACTAAGCTTGATATCATAAATTAAATAATGCATAATAAGGAAGCCACAACTGTATAAATTACTACACACATACAAGCTAAAGTATAAAAGATTAGTAGAACTCAAATTGGCTACAACAGTTCTTAAATACGTAAACTGTTTATATTAATATGATACAAAGATACAAAAAAATAAAAATACAAAGTTTGATATAATTTGATTTGAGGGAAAGAACACATACTAATCAAAGTCATAATCAGATACATTACCTACATCTACAAACTCTATATTTTCCTTATCTTCACAAGAAGTTAATAATAATGATTTAGCTTCATTTGTGAGAGGTTTATTTCGTTGACATATTTTAGGCCTGAAACTTGATAGGTATGGGTCAGACGATATTAACAAATTAATGATAATATCTTCATTTGTTGCAATCCTGCTAGATTTACGCGAGTGGAAAGTTCTGAAGTTTTTAAAATCTTTGTTACGAGCTTCAGAGGCCTCTTCAGAGAGCTTGCCGATTGGTATAAAGTTATTGTGCTCTATTATATCGGCACCATGAATGAGTAATTTATGCACGCTTGAGGGCATATAATACCATTCATAGAGCTCGACATATTTGCGTGCTGTAGCAGCACAATATTGGCGGAATTTTTCCACGTCCACAAACTCTCCACATGAGATAGCCTGAAGAATCACTCCAAATCTTCTAACGAGTTCTTCATCAACACCCGTTATTTGAGCAGTAATTTGAGGATTAACAAAAAATCTTCTTGCTGTGTTTCCATCGTTGCTTGTACCAGCCCCTTGTTTAACAACGTCCACAAGTAGCCCCGTTTCAGTCCGGAATTGTTCTTGAATAGCCTTTTTTCTTTCGCTTAACTGTTGCTTCAAATCTTCGCCCTTAGCTTGCCATTTCTTGAAGTCAAGACGGTAAGCAATATGTAAGATACATTCCATGCATCTAATTCGTGCATGGAGGGAAGACAGACCGAACTTAAACATGTCTACAGACTGGGTTCTCTGAGTAACCTTGTCGATATCATTCATTTCTTTTGGTTTTGCTTTGCATATATCGCATGTAGCTGTGGATGTATCTGATAAATGTGAAGTTATTTTACCATCAATCATCGTCATATGCAGAACGTGTTTTACATTTGCACCATCGATAACAGTTGGACGTAGAGCAGCAATTTCCGTATCAATTGAAGTCATTTCTTCTTTAACATTCAAATCGTTCTCTTTAGCAAACTTAAAATAAATGGGTCGACAGTAAAACGTTGAAGACGCTTTGGGGTTTTCCCATATTATTTCATCAGTACCATCTCTCAATAGTTTTAACGGCACAAATGAACACATGAAGATGCTTGAATCATCGCCGTCAATTTTTTGTTGGTAGTTGCTTTGCCCAGATGCACCGTCAAACCCCCATTTACTGATAAGAGTCGAATTACTGCCAGTTAAATCAGTTTCCAGAGTTTTTAATAGTCTCTTGACCGTAATATCTAAAATAGACTGAAGTTTAAGTTTAACTTCAGTCTCAGTTATTACCATGTCTTCTTTTTCAACGTAGCACTCCTTCTTCTCTTGCTTCAAAGCATCATACGATGGAAGTATATCACACCCCATGTCTCTCATTGTCTGCCTCAATGTAATATACTGCCATTTCGATAATTTCAGTGATGTTGAAATACCGAGTGCCTTATCGGTATGACAAGTTCGTTTCGTCGATTTCAGGCAGGCTCGCAGCATTGGCGCATCTTCAGGCTTTTTAATCAAATGCTTCACTAATTCTACAAAGTCCGTTTGGTTTTCATTTTCCGCTTTCCTAGCCAGGGCATAAGCAAGTGTCTCAAAATCGTTTTCGGCAATGAGATTTTCAGTTCTTCTTCTTTTTTGCAGTGGACTCAAATTGGCAAATTCTTTTCGAGGACTAAATGTAGCGGTTGATGTCGACACAGCCACACTATGAGGAACAGTGCATTCCGTTGATAAACTAGGTCTTGTTACTGTTGAAATACTTGTTGAAGGATCTTCAAAACTCGTCATAATATTTGATTGTTCTTCAGTTATGTCTAGTGAAACAAACTCTGGCCATTTTATTTCTTGGTCCAACCAGTCAGCAAACTTCTTTATAAAATTCCCTTGTGTGTAATTAGCTGACTTCCATTTGCGTTTAAGATTACTCGTATATGTAGCACAAAACGTTTTAAGAGTTGTCTTTTGTTCTTCAGATAATGAAAATCTCACTGAATCGAGTACTTTTTGAAATAACATGTCGGCACTAAAATATTTTTGCCTCATATATATATATACGTCGAGATTAGATACAAGCCCTTCCATTCTGAGCAACTTAAAATTTGAGCAAAGAGAACGTTACGGTACGAATCAATAATGATAAGTGAAATGAAATACAGGTGTACTCCGTATTTATTATAATCGAAGTCATTGTTGAATAATAATAATAACAACGTATTATTTATTCACCTACCCACAATAAAAGCAAATAATCAGTAATTATTATAGGCTAACAATTGCAGGTAATGACTGTGGGTAGCCCTTTGAATTTCCCAAAACCCGCCACAATAGAGTTTGTATTGTTTATATGTAATGATGCTCTCGTTAATGGTGTGCGACTTTTAAGCGATTGTCAAACAAAAGATTAAATTGTTGGCTTTAAACGACTTCATTGTAATTCTTTACAATATTGTATTCTTGTTTTCTTTTTCTTAAAACTATTTCTTTTATCTATTTATATTAATTCCATATCTTTTGAATAAGGACGCTTTTATTTAAAGTTAAGTTGTATGGTGTCGTTATCTATATATATATATTTTTATTAGATAATAATCTGCGCTGTATTAATAACTAAATGCTGGGCAAGAAACATAAACAAACTGTTTATTGAGACACATAACCCCGTAAAGCAAAATTACCCTAATAAGCATTTTGAAAAATTCGTATCTTTTGAACGGGGCCGTCCGGGGTAAAGGTCAAAGGTCACATGGCTTCGTAAGAGACCCGGTAATAATCCCTATTAGTTTCAGCTTGACCGTAGAAGACCGAGACAAGTTATGAGCAAAACAAATTCCGTTTTCATACATTTGAAACTCTAAAGCCCGTGCTTTATGGTGTTAGATTAAAAGGAAATTCCCCAAACTATTTTATTATTCAATGTAGTGATATGTCCAATAAAACCGCATACCTTAAACGGATAATATACATTTTTATTTTTTCAAAAATCCTATGAAAGGGGACCTCTTTTTTTCACCCACTGTGCGGCAGTCTTGGTGGGGACAAGACGAGAAGACGAGACGTGAGAAGCGAAGCGTAACTCAAGGGCATTACTGGCACAGCTGACACTATTTACCTACATTTTGTCGAATGGCTTCATCGTTTTTAGGACACCCTTTTAACTAGGGTTCTGATTACACCCACCAGATAAACAAAGTTCTTGGAATATATTATCGAAAGAGAAATAATTAAACATGTAATAACGTTTTAATTAGGTCGTTTTATACTTTGGTAGTGTAAAAATTAAATTTTAAGATCATTTGTACACTTAACTTTGTTATTAACCACTAAGTATTCGGAAACATGCACAAGTCTTGGCAAGTGAAACAAAATAGCGGAAAGTGTCTTTCGACGTTCCCTCAAGAAGTCCACGGGGAGGTTCCAGTAAATCCCCACACATTTACTGAAACATAGGGAAAGGGGGATTGACTTGACTGCCACATACTTTGACTTGACTAATATTTTGACCATCACAAGAAACATTAGAATGCGTCACACCGACATTCTAATGTAAAAAGAAAAACAGAATAATTTAACTTAAGGCTAGGCTGTATGGGCATTGTTCCCCTTGCCGTCCTTGAAAAGGGAGAATTAAACAAAAAAAAACCATTTGACATTGACATTCGTCAATTCACATGTAGCCGCCAGCCGATAGCCGTGGTCCTTGCGTGCGTGGTAGAGCAATGTAAAAAGAAATTACGTTACACCCTGAACTTTATGTCTGACTATTATACAATTAATGAGATTTTTTAAGAAAGACATTCAATATGCCTACGATCTCTGTCAACCGAGACGCGTTGTTTACCGCATTGGGCAGCAAATATAGTAATATATTTTTTTAAGTGGTTTTTCAAAATCGAATAATATCTTTATATTTAAGTAAATAATTTAAATTTCAGCTGATGAAGAATTTCAGAATTTATGTTTTGAGTTCGGATTGGAACTAGACGAAGTAGTAAGTACCAACTGCTAAACAAGTTCTTCTGTGCCTTACCTTAGTAAATTACAAACCTGTAATAATAATAATAAAGCCTTTTATATATCCATATAGGTTATTTACAATTAAAAAAAGAAGTTGTTAGTTTGTTAGTTGCAGTTCTTGATTGTTAAGTTAGGTTTAAAGGTTTTATTCAGATGCCTAGATCCCTCTTTAGGTGAAGGCCTCCTCCAGTTTTTCCCATTCTTCCTATCTTGAGCTGATTTTGTCCAGTGCTGTTTGCAATTATATATTTTATTAAATAAAAAAAAATACAAAACTGTACTGAACATTAAATAATAACGCACACTATTATCTAAATATTATTCAAGCATGCTTATCTACATTGCAGACAACTGAAAAACAAATGTTAATGAAAGAACAAGGAAGTCATGCTGGTACAGGGGTTTCAGATGACATCTTATACCGCATAGATATTCCAGCTAATAGATATGATTTGCTCTGCTTGGAGGGTCTTGTGAATGGAATACTTGTTTTCCAAGGAAAGTAAGTATAGAATATTCGTTCAAGAGTACATAGACATTGCCTCTCAAACTAATACAAGACTTAAATCTGGCATAAATACAGTGATGACTGATGGCTCACTGTAGGTACTATTAAAAAGTTTAAAAAATATATCAACCTATGCCTATCCCTGCCATGAGCAATAAAGCACAATTTTTACTGTGTTAGCTTTTATCTTCCCACCAGTTATTAACTAGAAACTAATACACAAATAAGATATCATATTTTCAAAACAAAGATACTGTTTCAATGGCTGTCTAATTGGCAACTGACTGACTAATTTGCAAATGAGGAGCCACCTGGCATGACCAGCAAGCGAAAATTGGTGCTCCAGCTCCAACAGTTACAAAGGTTACTTACCTTTGGACTGCTAGTGGGTGCCTCTTCATTCTCTAGTTCTTTCGCTCTTTCTATATAAATAAATATTTAAAAATGTCAATAACTGTCTTAGACTATTCTATATTTCTAGACATAAATTATCAAAATAAAGGAACAATCTGTAATTATTTCTTTCTATTATCTGTAAAATAAGATATTATTTGAAAATACTAGAAAAAAGAAACACACGGACCAGGCAGCAGACGGTACCTGAACTCGCACCTTCTGCTATCCGGGCGGATGCACTGACCATTATGCTATCGTGGTCCTAGTGGCTGCGTCGTATTCTTTCTAGCATTTTTTAGGCTGCAAGGCAGTGCCAGCTCTGCATTGTAGGTAACCCAAAGTGTCAAAGGAATACTTTTATAAGTATTAGACATTTGGAAGATGAAATAGCAATTGTAGTTATATTTTTAAGCATTGCTAGATGTTAAAATCTAAAGAAAACTTTCACAAAATAATTATTCCACATGGACCACATGGACCAGGCAGCAGATGGGACTCAAACCTGCACCCTCTGCTATCCAGGCGAATGCACTGACCAGTATGCTACCGCGGCCCAGATGTCGAAAGTCGAATTCTTTCTAGTATTTCTTAGGCTGCAACTCAGAGCCATCTCTTTGCATTGTAGGTAACCCACAATGTCAAATCACAGTTTCAAAATATTAAACATTTGATGAGGTAGCAATTGCAGTTATATTTTTTTAAGTATTTAACTGCTACATGTTTAAATGTAAAGAAAATTTTACTAGAAAAAAATCCACATGGACCACTTTCCGCTAACGGGGCAGATGCACTGACCATTATGCAACCGTGGCCCTAATGGCTAATGTCGAATTCTTTTATTCTTAATTATTTCTTGGACTGCAAGGCAGCGCCATCTCTCGCATTATAGGTAACGCACAATGGCAAATGAATACTTTTTGAATGATGAAGGACCGTACTTGTCCGTGGGGATTTTTTTCTTTAGATTTAAACTTCTGGGAACTTAAATGCTTAAAAAAGAAAATAACCATAAAAAATATGTTATTTTAACAATTTCAATGTAAATATGCATACAATGATTTTTATTTAACATGTTTTTATGGTTACATTTTTATATTAGAGTGACTGAAAGTAAAATATATTTTGTATAAGAAAAATATCTAAATATTTTTGAGGCTATTTCAAATAGATTATCCTAAAAATTTTGATTATTTTTTAAAACTTTTCAGAAAGGCACCTCCTCAGTATAAGCTTACAAAATATGAAGACTGTTACTCACTGCACCTCACACCAGCTACAGCCCAAATTAGACCATATGCAGTTGCAGCAGTTCTCAAAGGCATCACATTCACTAAGGACTCATATGATAGTTTCATTGATTTACAGGTGAAATAAAATTTTGTTAATAATGAATTCCCAATTTCTAATGATATTATACGTAATTATATTTAATTAATTATTTATTATGACCACTATTTCTCTTTCTTCTTTACAACAATCTTTAACTTGACTTGGTCTGCCCTACCCCTGGAGTGTTTTTTAGAGCCCGGAGGCTCGGAGGGAGAGCAGCCCCCGCCTGCTGTGACAAAGCCGCAAGCATGGTGCGACCCTTAGCGCCTGAGGCTGGTCCTCAGGCGATACGGGCTGTGGCTTCGACCAACAAGCCGAAGGTGTGAAGCAGAGTGATGCTTGTGACTTTGTCACGAAAAGGCGGAGGGGCTGCTATTCCCGCAGCGCCGGAGATAAGGCAGAAGTACTGGTTCTTACTTCCTGAGTCATTGTATCCTAAAAACTTAATGAATTGAATGCGGCCGTGACAGCCCTTTCAAATGTTTAATACTTGTAAAAGTATTCATTTGACATTGTGGGTTACCTACAATGCGAAGAAATGGCGCTGCCTTGCAGCTTAAGAATGGCTAAAAAGAAATTCAACGCGACCGTCAGGGCCGCGGTCGCATAATTGGTCAGTGCATTATTAGCAAAGGGTGCGGGTTCGAGTCCCGTATGCTGCCTGGTCCGCGTGGAATTTTTTCTTGTTATATTTTCTTTAGATTTAAACATCAAGCAGTTACATGCTTTAAAAAATAAAAATTATAAGGTTTAAATGATTTTAAATGCTTATATTATTTTTTCTTGTAGGACAAGTTGCACCAGAACATATGTAGAAAGCGAGCACTGGTAGCCATCGGCACACATGATCTGGACACTGTACAGGGTCCGTTTGTGTACGACGCATTGCCCCCTAGCGAGATCAAGTTTAAGGCTCTCAATCAACCGAAGGAAATGACTGCTCCAGAACTTATGGAATTGTACTCGGTAATTTTTTTTATGTTTTACAATTCTATCAATATAATCAAGCAATTTAGTAAGTACAATTAAGGTTACAGCGGCGCGCGATCCGCATCATAGGCGATGAGGAGGTGACTAAACACCTTGAGCCTCTTCAATTACGCCGTGACGTGGCGTCACTAAGCGCGTTCTATCGTGTATACCACGGCGAGTGTTCTGAGGAGTTATTCTCTCTTATCCCACCTTCCCCTTTCCTTCAGAGGACCACGCGCGCTGGCCTACGTTGTCACCGTCTTAGGCCGTATACAGAAAGAAAGCCGAAAGCCGATCGGCGCCGATAGGCGCTTATCGGCGCCGATCCTTCCTACATAAAGGAAGCCGATTAAAGCAGATCAAGCAAAATGTCGGACTCATCGGACGATGATTTGGTTTTGTTAGAAAATGTTTATTTAAAAATGCGAAAAACAGCTATACATCCTATAAATAGAGAAAGGAAACGTTTCGGAGAATACCATAATTTATTTGTAAAAAAAAAAATTGATGAACAAAGAATTTATACATATACAAGAATGATTCTAGAAACATTTTATTACATTTTGGATTTAGTGAAAAACCGTTTGATGAAAAATTGGGGCAATTGGCATAAACAACCAATCCTTCCAGAAGAAAGACTTGTTGTCACCATTCGATAAGTACGAAACAAATAATTTTAGCGCTTAGTTAATAAAAGATAAAGTTATTAGATTTATAAAAAGATTATAACTTAGATTGATTTAATCTAAGGAAAATAATTCAAATACAAATTATTTATTATTCGGACCAGCGCGAGTCGGCGCTTATCGGCACCGATCGGCGCCGGTCCATAGAAAAAGGATCAGCGCCTATAGGCGATGATAAGCGCCGATCGGCGCTGATCGGCGCCGATCGGCTTTCGGCTTTCTTTCTGTATACGGCCTTACTGTGGCCACAATTCCAACGCGTACAAAGAAATTTGGTGACTCATTTCTTTGTCGCACTATCCGTACATGGAATGCTCTGCCCGCTCACGTGTTCCCTCCCTCTTACAACCTGGGATCCTTTAAAAGAGGCGTGAAGAAGCAACATGCAGGCCGGCAGGGTGAGGATGGCTTGTGTAGTAGGTAGAACTGCTGTATCAGCTATCTTCGCGTCTGGACTTCACCTTCACTTAACATCAGGTGGGGTGGAGTCATTTGTCGGACCTATCTATAAAAAAAAAAAAAAGTTAAAAAAAATCTCATGTTTTCATGACATAACATCTTTATTTTAAACTTTTTAAATTTGCATATTGTGATCAAATCTTCTAACAGCATTTTAAAGCAGTTATGTATTGATCATTTAAGTTGAAATTTTGCATACACATTTAGTTAAGTAACTATTCTCTGTTCAACTTCCTCTGAGACAAAGGGTAAATAAATAAACCAATGTTTCTAAAAAATAAATTATCGAGAGTGTTAACCGAATTTCACATTTCAACATAAACTATTTGCTTTATCACTATTCTCTTCAATTAAGTAGTATTATAATGTGTTAAAATTTTGGGAATAGCTACAGCTTTAGGTCTTTTTAGTGTCACTTGTTTTTAATTATGATTTTATATGCATATTAAATTCGACCTGTTGAAAAACCTTTTCTAGTTTGTTTACCTTTTGTCTCAACGGAAGTTGAATAGAGTATAAGTGACGTATTTCTAAATCCAATATGGCGGAGGGAATCCAAGATCACGGAATAGTTATATTTGTGCTCTTCCTTGATTATGAATAATTTTAAAACTTATTCTATTATCTTAATTAATAATGGTTACAGCATCACGCGCAACTGAAACAATACCTTCCTATAATAAGGGACAGTCACGTGTACCCTGTGATAAAGGATAAGAATGGTATCGTACTGTCCATGCCGCCCATCATCAACGGCGATCATTCGAAGATCACCCTTAACACGAAGAATGTGTTCATCGAATGTACTGCTACAGATTTAACAAAGGTAAATTAAATATACCATTAATTACATGAAAAAAATTTTCAACACATTTGCTCAAAAAATGTATTTACGAAGGTTCTTGTATTGTTCGAAATTCAAAATTACGGGCCATCCAGCGGAGCGTGCGGTAAAATTCATTACGCACCGTCCCATACATGGCAGCGTGCGTATTCTTTACGGTTTTTTTTAAATTTCGATCGAACCTCTTCGGAAGCGCTTTTAGTCTTTACCTATGCCTCAGTTGTCCTACCCGCGCGTGGCGGCATTTAGAAAAGCGCGCCATTTTCTTATTAGAAAAAAATGCTTCATTACTTAAATTCTGTATTAATGATTTCTCGCAAGTGTGTTGAAAAACGTATGAGCTTCGTGCGGATTGGTATTATAAACTCGTGAATTCGTCTCGGTCTTACCTTACCCTTACATTGTAACGTGTTAAAAAACGTCACATGAATCTCCTTTGTTGAAAGAGCGAGATAGAAGACTTTGTTTAGGCTGTCTGTCTCACCATCTGTCTCACCTCGTTTTCTATCTCACATCAATTTTGTTAGTCTATGCGCTTTTTGTTATTTGTGACTCGATCCATATCAAGCAATAAGCCGTATGGACGTCGTATTCTTTGCCCGCCCGGAAAGAAAAGAAAAACCTAATGACACTTCACGTCACAATTCATATGGAAGCGGAATTAGGGGTGTACATTTAAAAAATATATCGATACATGTATTCGATATAAAATATCGGAAAGAGATATCGATGATTTTCGATATATCGTTTGAAAATATCTATATTTTTTCAATATCGAATATTTTTCACAAGTTTCATTTACTACGAGTATTACTTTAATAGAATTATAGATAAGACGTTGATGAGATGATTTTTTATTTAAGTAAGTGAAACACTAAAAATCAAAAAACACAAAAAAAGTATTATTTTTTCAGAAATATAATCTTAATCGTTTTCTGAAATAGCTAATACAATTTCTCAGGTAACTCAAAATTCACGGTATATTATGTAAACAGGACACCACTGTTACCAATAAAACGGAATGAGTGCGAGATAAAGAACGGAGACCTTTTATCCCTTTCTAATAGGATGACCCTAGCTTTTATTTATGGGAAATGGATATATTAAAACAAATAAGGAGAAGTCATGCAGAAGAAGGGGCAGATAAAAGATACCGCCATGAAGCTAAAGCGCGTGGAAGGCATATTGTTTTGTTGAAATTTTATTTTTTGGGAGATGTTACTGGCATTATGATCTATAAATGCAATATATCCCGCTTCTGGTATGTACATGATACATTTCAATGACACTCATTTTGCCAATCTCCTTAACTTTGGTTTTATTGTCATTATGAGTCAGCATTAGTTTTTATATATCGGTCGATATTTCTATAAATATATCGATATATCGAATAAAAATATCTTTGTCAAAACATCGAATCAATCGATATATCGTATGGTAAATATAGAATAAAATTCAATATATCGATATTAAATGAATATCCCTAAGCGGAATCATTCACTGCTAATCTAAATGAATTACCAAGATATAATGCGATTCAACTAAGAATAGGACCGAGTGGGCTCCATATTGTGACGTCATAGCTGTCAATTCAAACCAAATAGGTAGGGTGAGCAAAACAAAGTTTTTATTTAATAAAATGAATTTACTGAGATTGAGAAAAAATACAACCGATTTTTAATAATATTTCTTTAATAAGACTGTGTGAGAAAAATCATTAATCAGAATCTAGCTCTTCAATTCCGCTCATCTGCATTACCGCCGGAGTAGTTATGAATAATCATGCAGGTCATATACGAACATGCATCCTTTGTGTAAACGAAAGTTTTAAATCAGTTTCTGAACGAAACATAAAGTGACATTTGGTTGACGATTTAGGTTATCAATCATTCATAGCCAAAGCTCAATAAAAGAAAAAAAATATCAACCAATACTAATTAACAATATTTTTTACTGTTTGGTTAAAAATGTTTGGTTTTTATTCTAGAATTAGCTGAGTGCTAAAAAGTGTTCCGAGATTTTTTTGCAAGCCGTACTTTTCAAGCGACATTTGACAGATGGAGGTTATTGGCTTTCCTATTCTTATTTGAATCGCATTATATTCATACTATTTGTAATTATTTTAAATGAAATGAAACCTTAGTTTGTTTTTGTGCTTCATGCTCGGGAGTTCAGTGGAGTTGTGCCCATTATGGAGTTCTAACTTTTGTTTTGGCTGTTTCCGTCCGGAAAGCCGTTGGTGTTGAGTCGGCTATGAATGTCACGTTTTGGGGCTTTTGCCAATTTATTGCTGTTTTGACTTTCGTCACTACATTTTTTTTGTCGAACTGATTGTTCTAGACGCCTTTTGCACATCATGTTCGGAAAGCAGGTGGTGTTGTGCCGACCATGATTGTGATTTAAATGAGTTAGGGCCCATTTTGCCACTAATCTCGAACTTTGATTTAGGGATTTAACTAATAGTACTTGCGACTTTTTAGTATGGCAGTACTAGGGTGGGACTTTTCTAGAGTCTGCGACATAGTTGTCTAACAGATCTCCCAAGAGTTGGTAGTAGGAGTAGATTGTAGTTTTATGTCTGTTACCTAGTTGTCCAACAGACGTTCAGAAATTAATATTAAGAGTGGTTTAGAAATTTTAGGAGTCTGCGATTTAAATATCTAACGGATCTCTCAAGGGTTTAGGTTTTGAAGGAGTTTTAATTTAGGAAATTTTAGAGTCTGCGACTTAGTTGTCCGACAGATTTCTCCAGGGTTTAGTTATAGAGTAGTTTGGATTTAGAGATTTTTTAGAGTCTGCGAATTTTATGTCCGACAAGTCTCAATAATGATGATGATAGAGGTTGAATTTTTTTACTATTCTGTAGTAGCTTTGCATGCTTTTATTTTGAATCATTTTACTTTAGTTTTTTAATAATTTTGGGTCTTCGTGAAGTGTCATTAGGTTTTTTTTTCTCTTTCCAGGCGGGCAAAGAAAACAACGCCCATACGGCTTACTGCTTGATAAGGATCGAGTCACAAATAACAAAAAGCGCATAGACTAACGAAATTGATGTGAGATAAAAAACGAGGTGAGACAGACAACCTAAACAAAGTCTTCTATCTCGCTCTTTAAACAAAGGAGATTCATGTGACGTTTTTAACACGTTACATAATAATGTAACTGTCGACGAATACGTCTACTCGTTTTACCCGTACATTCGTCCATCCTTATCCTTACATTCGTGTACTCGTTTGTAATATTACTAGTCGTTGTATATACCAACTTACCGCACTAAAATCATAAATAACTATTTTTTGTGGCTCCAATTGCCATTATAAATAAATAAATATTTTCAACACGCTCCAATTAGCCTAGCTCCAAAGTTAGCACTGAAAGGCTAGTGTTATGGGATACTAAGGGTAACGAATAGGGTACATATACTGATAAATATACACGGTCATAAGTATTGTCACACAGTAAAAATTTCTTTTAGAATGGTGGCCACAAAAAAGTTTATTGAATTCGAATTTCGAATTGTTCATGAAAATAAAAATGTATACTTTTTAGAATTTTACTCATTTTCAAATATGGAGTGGATGCTTAAAGGAGACCGTGTTGCAGTTATTGCGTTGCATCGTTGCGGTTACGCGCCAATTCAAATTTTAGACATACTGAAAATTTTGAATATAACCAAAAGATTCGTTTATCGTACCATCAAACGATACAATGAAGACTCTAGTGTAGATGACAGGTCAAGAAGTGGTCGCCCTCGGTCTATTAAGACTCCAGCAGTGATAAAAGCTGTGAAGGCGCGAATTCAAAGAAATCCCAAACGTAAGCAGAAACTGTTGGCCCTTCAGATGGGCTTAAGCAGAACCACGGTGAAAAGGGTGTTAAATAAAGACTTAGGGCTTCGGGCATATCGGAGAAAAACAGGACAGGAGCGCTGCTTAGTTTTCATAGAAACTTGACGATGCGATACTATTACGGAGCTATCAAAATTCGTGATTGGATCTCTGATGATCTAGGACTCTTAGAGTGTCTGCATGGGAGTGGATTAGCCTCTCTAGGTCGTTATATCTAATATATAAAATTCTCGTGTCACGGCGTGCGTAATTGAACTACTCCGAAACTGGAGTTGGTGAAGGCTCGCCCGATTTTCGTGAAATTTTATATGCATATCATATTATCAGTAGGTCTGAGAATCTGACAACATCTATTTTTCATCTACCTAAATATTAAGGGTACCCTTAAATTATTTTCTTTTTTGGATATTTATTTTTTTATGATACATCATCCAAATACATACAACCCTAAATTTTCACCTTTCTACCACCAACCCCTATTTTTTTATGGCGGTACGAAGTTCACTGGGACAGCTAGTATGTATCTTTATTTTGTTCTTATCATTTAACGGTCTCGTTAAGTATTATTCCTAGTACCACAGTAGCTCTTAAGTATAAGTACAACACAATCTTTATGATTCTTTTCCAGGCCATAGTTGTCCTGGACACGATAGTGTGCATGTTCTCTCAGTACTGTGCGAAACCTTACGGAGTACAACAATGTAAGGTTTTCTCCCCCGACGGCACCTATGAGTTGTATCCCAAGTTGGAATACAGGGAGGAATCAATCAACATTGATAAGGCTAACAGCTACATCGGCATAAGGTAATATTATTTTGTTATTATTTTTTGATTTTATTTGATTGACAATTGATAATATGATTTAATTTATATGAATTGTAATTTTTTGTAATTTATATATTTTATTATTATTATTGTGATTATTTAATTTGATTATTATCAATTGTTTTTCTACTTCTGTATGTAATATGGGTACTACGCCTGAAATAAATGATTATTATTATTATACCTTTTTTGAGGAGCTCAATGGCGCAGGTAGCTAGCGCGTTCGGCTGCGATCGTTGAAGTTAGCAACTTTCGCAATGGTCAGTCAATTGATGGGTGACCAAAAATCTTCTATCTCGAGTTCCTCCTTGCTTCGGAAGGCACGTTAAGCCGTTGCTCCCAGCTGCATCTGCAGTCGTGAGCACCCGCCAATCCGCACTGGGCCCGCGGGTCATGGCCCAATCTCCTTATTTCATCCATAGGTAAGGCCTGTGCCCCAGCAGTGGGAACATTAATAGGCTGATGATGATGATAACTTTTTTTAATGTGTCATATACAACAGGTACATACTAGGTTTTCGGTCGTACATTTGTAAAAATGAATAAACGCAAAAAAGGAGTTGCATTTGTTGAAAAGTTGAAATTCACATTTATATATTACGTCACGAATGATGTGCAAGAGTGACAGCATGTCTTGCGTCGCTTTTTTGATTTATTTCTTTGTTGGCATGACTTTTACGCTTACGGCGTAGCTTCTCGACATTCACAAGTGCTTGTAACAGCCTAGACTGAATAAACGATATTGATTTTGATTTTGTCCAGCTCTAAAAAAGCCCTAAGACGTAATTTTTATAAGAAATTCGACTATAAAGTCTGTAGCACTGGAGTCAGTGCATTCGCTCGGATATCGAATGGCGCTGGTTCGAATCCAGCCTGATACCCAGTTGAATTCTTTCTAGTAATATTTTCTTTACATACATTGTGAACCGAAAAAAGAAAACAAAAACCACCTTATTCCAAAACGCGGACTGAAGTTGGTGTTGGCTTAAATCTAATGCTGTCTCTGTCTCATTTTAAGCAAATAAAAGTGACAGCATCATTTTAAGATCGGGGTTAAACTCCCCGTCCGCTCTCCCACTTCCTTCTAATCCTCTCCATCCAAAGGTTGTCTGGAAGAGATCGCTTTTAGCGATAAGGCCGCCCATTGTAATACTTTATTTAAATAGCACTGTATTTATTGTAATGTTTTCTGTGGTGTTCAATAAAGTGTTTTGTATTGTACACTTTAGTCGACGTTTTGTAATAAAAGTTTAATCGTCTTGTTTTGGTGTCTAGTGAGAATGGAGACAAGCTGGCTTCTCTTCTGTCCCGCATGTGTTTGTCATCGAAGCTTCTGAACCAATCGGAGGTGAAAGTGAAAGTGCCACCAACCAGGCATGACGTCATACACGCCTGCGACCTTTACGAGGACATCGCCATCGCATACGGGTAACGTTAAATGGAGAGATAAGTAGTGTGAAAGAGATTGAGAGTGAGGGAGTAAGAACTCTTACTCATGTCTGTGTTTACGAGCGATATCCATAATCATAACAACAACATTACTCAGTCTAGTGATTTGAATTCTGACTGTTTTGGTGTTGTCTTTGTTACGGAGATTACGTCGATAATGTTTAATCATTCCTTGCAAACGGGTATATTTCCAGAGGAATGGAAAAAAGCCCATATTGAAAAAATGTGATTTAAGTAAGATTGAAAATTACAGACTCATATTAATATTGTAATGTTTTGTCAAAATCTTTGAATCCCTTATCTCTCCGCTTTTATCTCAACATATAAAACACAAAATCTCGTGTTTCCAACATGGTTTTCAGAATGGTCGTTCGGCAACAACAAATCTGGTGTCATTTGTTTCTAGCGTCTCTCGAGAAATTGACTGTGGTTGACTTTTGATTGACTCGGCGAGCACTGTCAGTATGAAATACTTTTAGACTTTATAGACCAGGGTCGATAATTTTTGAGACCAAAAAAATTATAGTAGGATGAAACCCATTACAAAAGGTAGAGAATATAACAAAAATGAAAGGAAAAATAAATTACGGGCGATCTGAGGTCGGGAAGGGGGAGGGGGTGAGTTTTTAAGGGTAAAAAATGGTTAATCTCAATTTCCGGTAAAACTGCAAGTCCTATGATTCGAGTTTTTTTCATTATTAATTTGCATTTTCTGAGAACATTTATCATAGTAGTGTATATTTTTTTTATACCATCAGAAAGTAGAGATTTCAACAAACAAAAAACACACCAACTTTTTTAAAAAAGCAGATATTTTGACGTGAGAATTTTCGATTGAAAATTAGGGTGCTTTTTGGATATTAAGTCAAAATAAGGTGAAAAAATGAATATTTTAAATCAAAAAAATTACTGTATGTTTGGGACATACAAAGGTAAGTTTTCAAAAAATTTCGTGAAAAAATATTTTTTTTGCAAAAAATAAAAATCAAAAACCAAAAACTCGGTTATTCGCATTTTTCACATAAATTTTGAGGTTATGTGAAAAAAGTGTCGATATAAAAGTTGTAGATCTTTTTATTACCTACAACTTTGCCATTTAACTTTTTTCATAGGACTTGCAGTTTTACCGGAAATCGAGATTAACCATTTTTTACCCTTAAAAACTCACCCCCTCCCCCTTTCCGACCTCAGATCGCCCGTAATTTATTTTTCCTTTCATTTTTGTTATATTCTCTACCTTTTGTAATGGGTTTCATCCTACTATAATTTTTTTTCACTTCTCACCATTTTTAAAATTATCGACCCTGGTCTATTATCTACACACTTAAAAGACCAATATCGCTTGAAAATCTCGAAGAAGTCACGACATCGCGCGACCTAATCAAGAGATACTGGTGACAAGTTAAATACCCCCTTTTGTTTTTTAAACTTCCTTTTACATAGTAATTACGTATTCAATCAACTATATAACTCTGTAGATGCGGCTTGAATAGCCTCCTCCTTACGGCTACTATCCTAAATTTGGAAGTTCTCTAATAATTCTCTCGTGGATTATATTTCGCAATTTTGACCTATTCTAAGAGATGCCGATAACTTCGCCTACCGTGGGGTTTATGCTGATCGTATCTGATCATCTGACCAACCCATTGGACTTTTTCTATCTACTTTGCAACCCCTTCTCGGCAATAGGACTAAAGTATTCGAAACTCCTCCTTGGGCATCAATTATAGTGATGTCTGATGCTTTGTTCAGTGAATCCCGACCATTTGCCTCTAATATCACATCTCTAATGTGTTAATACATAGACGATACCTTTTAAACCCCCTTATTAATAAACGAAGAATAGATAACTCCATGATTTGTGATATGAACAAGACACGGCGTAACTATTCTAAGCTTATTCCTATAAAGTCTATATTCTTCCGCCTACAGCGACAATTCGTTAAATTTTACGATCTTGTATTTCGAATTGTCATACCTCTGTGACGCTTGCGTTTAAATGAAGACATTATATATTATGCAATAATGGTGGCTATGAATGTTTAAATAATGCCTTATATTGTTTTTGGCTACGCGATCATCCCACGGAGCTCCGTAGATCGTCCAATGTACCATTTGGACAGGTTTCGGCCATGATTTTGTTCGTGATGTTGTACCTAGGGTTTTTAATATCGTGGTTTGTACCGTTTTCTATCTACTTTGCTGGTCAACAGTAACTTCTCAAGATATGTCTAAAGCATTCGTAGCTCCTCCGTAGGCATAATATTATTATTGAGACTCATATTTATCTTGAGTTTAGTTAGTAGGTATAGATGCGTGGGTCCGATGCTGTATCTCTGCCCAGTGAATTCTGTGCTTTTTCTTCAAACACCACATTTCAAATCTATTCAAGGCGATCCGCCTTTTTGAATATCCAGGTCACTGCTCTACACCATATTAGAAAGATGAAAAACATGAGTTGTGTGTGACGAGTCTTTTCTTGGTTTTATGCTAATCTATACATACAATAAAACGGTAGGAAAGTCAAAACTGTACATTGAATATTTTTTTTAAAGAATACTTGGGGTGTGATCTACAATTGATACTGAAGCCAAAACTATAGTTTTTAGAATTTTGGTCTGTCTGTCTGTATGTATGTCCGGGATAAACTCAAAAAGTACTTGCATGGTTTTACTTCAAATTTAGGACGGATATTATTAAGAAGTCGAGTCAACATATTGTCTACATACTATCACGCTTACACCTACCCACGCGTATGAAATCGCGGGCGACCGCTAGTTATTTCTATACATTGCTTAAATAGTAAAATATAAAAAAAGTTAAATGTAGTTATTGCTTTATATTGGTAGATACAACAACATAACGCGTAGAACTGCAGCAGTCAGCACTTGCGGCGCTCAGGAGCCCATGAACAAGCTCACGGAGCAGTTGCGTCGCGAATGCGCATGCGCAGGATACACTGAGGCTCTCACCTTCACGCTGGTACGTTATAATCCTACTTGCTACTAATATTATAAACGAAAAAGCAACGAAATTGAAATAATGTGGAATGGTTTGTATTATTTCTAATTCGTTTTACAATAGTTTAGTGAAGACAATATCATTTTACAATCTTGCGCCTCTTAGGCCGTGTTGTTTTATCTATATTTAAATTTGACTATAGTTAATGCCATGCCAAATAAGCACATAGTAAATGTGTCAAATTTTGACGAATGTTTACTTTTTCCCACTTAGTTACTCCCAAATAGGGTATTTGACAAGTTTTAAAAAACGATCTCACGTTATTTACTAATGTTTATGGAGTCCATAAAAAGACATTTTTAAGTTTGTTACGTAATTCATAAAAAAAGTAGAATAAAAATTCAGTTTTCAAGTTACCGCGAAAATCGTTTCTCTCGACATATTGGCGTCTCACTAGTATGTGACGTCACACGACTCTCATTAAAACGTCAAACGATACAATGTTATGTCACTTTGACCGGAAATTTACTACCGTGTGACGTCATTTTAGTCTTAGCCAATCCCATGCGTTTTCGGTCACGTGACCATTGAGCAAAAAAATCATTTCTATTTAATGATTTTATAGAAAAGTTATTAATTATTTGCTCTTTCAGAATAGTAAAATCGCTGCTAATATTCATAGTAAACCACAGATACCAACAATTTGTACTTTGTTGAAACTGTCAAATAGCCTATTGACCTAATATTGTTTACAGTGTTCCCGAGACGACGTTTCTACGAAGTTGGGACTGAAAATCGAAGATGTGCCGGCGACTCACATCTCTAACCCCAAGACTTTAGAGTTCCAAGTCGTCCGCACCACGCTTCTGAGCGGGCTTCTGAAAACAATTGCTGCGAACAAGAAAATGCCGCTGCCACTGAAACTATTCGAACTGAGCGACGTGGTGTTGAAGGACCCAACTGCCGGTATTGTGTCTCTTTTTATCAGCCGTATTTAAAAACGGCCAGTCCACTGCTACTTCAACTTGCTAATCCAGTTGGCTATGTCGATAACTCCGGTTCTCTGTCGGATAACCTCATTTCTGATGCAATCCTTCAGCAAAACGCCGAGAATAGCCCTTTCCATAGCACGCTGAGCGACTTTGAACCTGTGGACCAGCCATACCGTCAGTGTCCACGTCTCGGCTCCGTATGTCACAGGAAGGACGCACTGATTGAAGACTTGCGTCTTTAGGCACTGTGGGATCGACGATGTCAGGACTTGACGTAGCTTCCCAAACGCTGCACAACCAAGCTGAATTCTTCTATTCACCTCGTCTTCAAAGTTGTTTCTACCTAACTGCAATGTCTGCCCGAGGTACACATATTTTTGAATAAGTTCGAGAACGGCACCGTGTATTGCAATCGGTTCCGGTAGAGCAAGTTCATTGAACATGACCTTGGTTTTGTCCAAGTTCATCCGTAGGCCGATGCGTATTGAAGAGTCAGCCAGGTCATTCAGCATTTGTTTTAGGTCCGCCAGGGTTTCTGCCATGATGACGATGTCGTCTGCAAATCGTAAGTGAGAGATGCGTTCGCCATTTATGTTGATGCCACGTCCTTTCCAGTTCAGCGTCTTGTACATATCCTCCATTGCATTAGTGAACAATTTCGGGGAAATAACGTCTCATCTGTCTGTCTCACTCTACGATGTAACGGTAAGGGACTTTTTTCTATTTCTGTAATTGGACAGATATAGTGGCGGCTTCGTAGAGACATCGAATAGCTTGGATATTATCACCAGTCGACTTGGTAACGCTGCGGAGACTTCAGGACAGACCAGATTTCAATTGAGTCAAAGGCCTTCTTCGTCTACAAATGCTAGGCACAGGGGCTGATTGTATTCTTCAGTTTTCTGTATAATCTACGGTACTGTGTGGATGTGGTCTATGGTGCCGTATCCGCTCCGAAACCCAGCCTGTTCCGGTGGTTGGAAGTCATCAAATCTTCGCGCAAGACGATTCGCGATCACTCTCGAGAACAGCTTATAGACGTGGCTTAGGGGGGATATGGGTCGATAGTTCTTAAGTAGGGTTTTGTCTCCTTTTTTAAAGAACAAGACGACCAGACTCCTACACCACACCTCAGGAGTACTCTCTTCGAACAGGACAGTGTTAAAAAGCTTTTGCAGCTCCCTGAGTACGGGTTTACATCCAGCCTTTAAGAGTTCTGCTGGAACACCATTCTCTCCAGGGGCTTTTCCATTTTTAAGCTGTCCAAGAGCAATCTTGATTTCGACAATACTGACTTCTGGCAGGTCTTTGGTGAAGTGGCGTGTTAATGTGGCTCTAGAATCCTCATTTCCGGGAGCAGGTCGAGATGCATGTAATGCGTACAACTGGCCGTAGAAGTCTTCCCTTTCCGAAAGGACTGCCGGCTTTGAAGCAACAACTTCCCCCCTTGCTGTGGTCAACTTCGTCAGATGGCTTCTTCCAAGAGATTGTACGAACACTTTGGACCCTCGATTCTGCTCAATCGCTCTTTCGATCGAGAGAGTATTGGAGCACCGGAGGTCGTATCGTACGTACTTACTGATCTGTTGGTTTAGAGTCCGCTTTGCCGACGAAGTGACGAGTGGATTTTCAAGTTCATTCCTTCATTAGCCCTAAAGTCTCTTCCGAAAGCATTGACTTCTTGCCCTTACGCTGCGTTGCACATAATCTCGTATCCACTTCCCTGAGGATCCGAACCACATTTTTGAGGTTTTGGTTTACGTCAAAATCGGTTCTTCAGATTTGACTGGAACGTTTATTAAGTCCGCCATATGCAATGTAAAGGCATTAAAGATTAAATAAAATAAAAATAAACATATCCTCCACTTCGTCGTCCGAGTGTGTCGAGGTCGGTGCGTAAGTGTACGCACCGACCACCACCACCTTGAGGCTATACCTCTCGGTGAGTTTTATAATAAGGTACACTACCCTATTCGACACGCTGGACATTTCCACAACGTTATCGGCAATGGACTTATTTACCAAAAACCCAACGCCACCTTGGGACTGTTGGTCTCCCCCGCGGAAGTACATTATGTGACCCGATTCGAGGGTTATGGTATCCTCCCCCTCTCTTCGGACTTCACTTAACCCTAAAATGTGCCACCTAATCTTCCCAAGTTCCTCCTCGAGTTGCGTCAGATGCGAGTCAAGCCGTAGCGTGCGTCCGTTTTACGTCGCTAGGGTCAGTCTAGTTTGGTGGCTTCCCGTAGCCCGGAGATTCTTGGCATCCCTCGCCCCGCCGTTACCGTGGTCGCCACCGTGACCAGGAATAGCGGGGCTGCCAGGAAATGGGGGCCGTGACTTGTGTTTTTTATGCATTTACCAATGGCAATACCTCGCCCATAATCGCCACGCTGGGCAGACGGGTTGGCAATCGCAGAACGTAGGTTATTATCACTGATGACGCTGCTGCCCGTCACCAGTGAGATTTCACTCTCCTACGCCGTTGTTGTCGTCTGTTGGTCAACAGGGTGCACCAGGTGAAGGAGAGGTTGGCTTGGATTCTTGCAGGTGTATTTAGAACCCCTTACGTGGTTATAAACGATTTTGTTATATATGTTTTGACTGTATATAGTATTTTTGCCACAGAGACGGGTGCCCGGAACGAGCGTCGCCTGTGCGCCGTGTATTGCGGTAAAGCTGCCGGCTTCCAGTTCGTGCACGGCCTGCTGGACCGCGTGATGGCGATGCTGAGACAACCCTGGTCCGCTGACGGATATACGCTGCGGCAAGCTGATGGTAAATAACGTTTATTCCCAGTAGTTCCATGTATCTAGTTCCACATGGAACTACTGCTACCCACTAGTTCCGTGTATGTAGTGGAAGTATTATCGAAACTATAGTGTTTATTTATTCCCAGTAGTTCCATAGAACTAGTTCCACATAGAACTACTGCTACTCACTAGTTCCGTGTATGAAACTAACCATGGACCTAGTTCCACATGGAAGTACTGCTACCCACTAGTTCCGTGTATGTCGTGGGAGTGTTATCAAAACTATACTGCTTATTCCCAGCAGTTCCATGGAGCTAGTTCCACATGGAACTACTGCTACTCACTAGTTCCGTGTATGGAACTAACCATGGACCTACTGCTACCCACTAGTTCCGTGTATGTAGTGGGAGTATTATCAAAACTAGTGTTTATTCTGAGCAGTTCCATGGAACTACTGCTACTCACTAGTTCCGTGTATGGAACTAACCTTGGACCTAATTCCACATGAAACTACTGCTACCTACTAGTTTCGTGTATGTAGTGGGAGTATTATCAAAACGATAGTGTTTATTCTCAGCAGTTCCATGGAGCTAGCTCCACATGGAACTACTGCTACGCACTATTTCCGTGTATGGAACTAATGGGAGCATTATCATACCTATAGTATTTATTTCCTGTAGTTCCATAGAAAGGAAAAAATGTAAATACTTTACCTTATTTACTGCAAATAAGTAGTGAAAATTGTGTTTACCCTTTATTTTCAGTAGTTCTACTTGGATCTAGCTATATGGAATTAGTGGAAATAAAGGTTACATATATAATATGTTGATAATATAGTGCGATTCAAACTTTATGGCGGCTGCCAACTTAGCAGTGAGAACAATTCTGCGCAGGTTTACAGTACGGCATTACTCATCCTAAAGTCTGTTTTTAATCTCGGAGACAAAAATCACACATGGAAATGTCAAGATTGCAAGTAATGTTTAAATTCTAGCTTTTATTATGTTGTATTGTACCCGCGATACTGGTTTTTTAAGTTCTTATATTTATAACACGGTTATTTTTTATTTTTCAAAATTTTAAAAATGTTTTATGCACACTTTATCAATACGTAATACTTTATCTGTTGAACACTAAAATACGCCGTTTTTATTTGAAAAAAAAAAACCTTTAACAGGGTCATACAATCGACATTACCGAACTTTTATTGTAGTAAAAAATGCCGAGTCTGATGATACGATACTAAAATACGCCGTTTTTATTTGAATAAAAACGGTCAACTGGGTCATACAATCGATATGACTGAACTTTTACTGTAGTAATAGATGCCGAGTCTGATTACGTTTCAAATAATTCATATAATAAAATATGCTTATCTCGTTATGAACTTCAAATCTCCCGTGTGTAAATAATGTTTTATTCATGATTTACTAATAAATAAATTGAAAATATATTAATATAACTTAATTTTATATTTTTACTTGTATGCCTCTCATTACTCTCTTCATTTGGGATTTGCTACCGTACAAAAGCTGTTTATTCTCACGTGCATTTTTTAAACTAACTTAAGATGTCGGTATGTTTTTTTTTAATGTATGATGAGACATGATTTCTGATCCGATTTTCGTAATCCTTTCTTGTCCCATGCAGAATAGTTGTCATTTGGTTCCGTGAAAATTTAATTCAGATAGAATAGATTTTTTTGCTCCATGATCACGTGACCGAAAACGCCTGGGATTGGCCAAGACTACAAACACGATACACGCTAGTAAACTTACCGCCAAAGTGACATTACATTGTATCGTTTAACGTTTTAATAACAGTCGTATGACGTCACAGACTAGTGTGCAGCCATAATGTCCAGGGAAACCTATTCGCGGCAACTTGAAAATTGAATTTTTAATTTAGTTTTTTACTGAATTACACAACAGAATTAAAAATATCCACTTTTTATGGAACCCATAAACATTAGTACAATACGCGCCACGAAAGATGAGAATTGACGCAGCACGTCATTTGACATGCGCAGTAGACGATTTAAAGGTCTCTTTAGCGGTATGAGGTCTGAGGGGGGAAAGGGATCAGTCGCCATCGGGATGGCCGAAAGAGCATGAGAGGCGCGGCACGGCTAGGGTTGCTAACCCTACTATATTAAAATATATATATATATAGTAGGCAAAACTACTATATTTTGCTTAAAGCATATTTTTGTCAATAAAAGCTTTCTTAAAAAATATTAGAAATTGTTATTATATTATTCATAAGGCAAAGAGCAGCAAAAATATATTTATTTCAAAAATAAAGTAAATATTTTAATCACATCCTATATTTTTTGCTATCTACTATATTTTTAGAAGTAACGCTTCGAAAATACTATATTTGATAGAAAAAAAGTTGGCAACCCTAGGCACGGCGCCCGTCAAGTCTCATCTTTCGTGGTGCGTACTACTTACAAAAAAAACCCTGAGATCGTTTTCTAAAACTTGTCAAATACCATATTACTAAATGAATGTTAGTTGAACTGGACGGCTGTCCGCCCTAGGAAATATGCCTAGCTTCGCCAATGCTGAGAAGTCGTGAACTCTTGTTCCAGACCCAGCGTACTTCCCGGGTCGGTGCGCTCAAGTGTTATTACGCGGTCACGTGATCGGCCAACTGGGCGTGCTGCATCCGAGGGTGCTATCCGCCTTCGACCTAGCCAACCCCTGCTCTGCGCTAGAGTTCACCCTAGAACCGTTCCTATGATACTAGCACCGCAGCGTTCATACTTAAATAACAAAAGAGTGTTATACTGTTCTAATATATCAATAAAATGTTATATTTATGTCGTGTTTCATTTCTTTCGCCCAACCCTTTTTTCTTACCACACAAATGGTCGATTTTGGAAGCAGTGTTTAGATAAATTATCATCAATATAATTTTACATTACATTAATGCACTTTTGAGTTATCGTTATCTAACACCAGACATTGACTCTGCGAACTCATAAGGCCCAACTTACACTGGCACAGATTCGAAGCGTCGGCGTCGCATCGCTTTTTTCGACTTGGAAATACCTGAATAGTGGGAAAATAGAGATAAATATGTTGATGCGTTTCACCTGTAGCAACAGACGAAACGCATCGCGTCGCTATGACAGTGTGAGTCGAGCCTAAGACTAACGCCGCAAAGAATAAGGAGAAGAATGCAAAGAGATTTAATTAAAAACATTCGTATGAAAATATTGAGGAACAAGTGTTCTCAGATTTGCAATACGCAAGTGGGTGGAGGATAGTGATATAAGTAAATGAAGACATTGTTTCGAAAATATAGTTTATTGTATTTTTGCGTGAACTAATTACTAAGTAGTTCCAGAAAAACAGTAACGACTATAAAATCACATTCTCGGTAAAAGCCAAACGGTCGTATTTTTTGGGGTTGTGAGTCGAGTAAATTTCATTCAACATAATTACATAATACAACTCGCTTTGGGGCGATGTGTGACACATTGAGGACTTTGGAGGAAACTGTCATGTGACTCACAACCCCATAAAATAAGCTCCTCTTGCCTCACCCTATTATATAGCTAATTTGTTAACCAGTAAAGCATTGATAAAGTTTTCTGTGAATCACAAATCCCCGATGCAAGCATCAGAATTTCAACAATTGCAATTTAAAATACATTGTTCTAAACATACATAGGTACATACCAAAAATATTTTATCATCTTATAACAATGTATTAATTTGTTGCATGATAAATATTTCAATTGTTATAAAACATTCATATAAGGCACATTAAATATAATTGACTATATAATTTAAGAAAAAGCATAATTCACTTTCTCTAAATAAAATCATATATTAATATATTGAAATAAATGTCATCTCTATTCATATAGATGTTTTAAATAAACTCTTATGATAGTAAAATTGTATACTAATTAGAAATATAGGGTTCAGCATACAATAAGATAAAATTATGACCTTAAGTAACTGTACCAGTGACAATAAATTATTAAAAAGAATTAGTTAACATTCATCACAACACAACCTACAATCTAAAATCAATTAAAAACATATAATTCTAGTTATAATTTAAATTGATTTCTGTTTGTCATGTGTGAAGGTACAATGCTTATGTTTGTTATCTCATAACTGAAATAATCTATAATCATGATTTGTGGACGGAAATATACTTTCAATCAAGTAAAAGCTCTATATCAAATAACTTTTGTAGTTCTGATCTATTGAAATCAGGAGATATAATAAATGGGCAAAGATAAAACGAAAGCTCTTTTAAATTAGGTGCACTAGTTTTAATGACTTTAGCTACTTGCATGTTGACATGATGGCACCTCGACATGCTGAGATATGTCAAATTATGGAATATGTTGTTTGAGAAATAAGCAAGTAAAGCGCTTGTTGAAAAATATGAGTGACGCAATTTCAGTGAATGTAAATTTTTTAATCTATACAGATGCAACAAACTTGAATCAAACAGTGTTTTGCACGTCATTATGTGAAGAACTTGTAAAAATTTGCAATTAGATATATATCTTACAATGTCATCATTTAATGTGTCTCCATAAACATGTAATGCTCTCAAAGTGGACTGCTTGGTTCTTAGTAGAGATTCCAAAAAATCAGCTGGAATATTTTTCATTTTTTCTATGTTGATGCTTATCAACTTAGGACACTGCAGCATGCTATACAAACTGTTGCGAGTCAGTGCAAAATTTGACAAAATAACAGTTTCCAAATATTTCAGTTTCTCAAATGGCAAATGGTAAACGAAATTACCATTGGCATTTCCTGGGTTTTGTACTATTAAAGAATTCCGAAAACTCAAAAACTTTAAATTAGGCCAATGACCAAGATCATCAAAAATACAGCTGTCAACTTGCGATATACTAATCTCTAAGTGAGTCAGATTAGGGCAATAACTTATAAGGGAAGCTCTCACTTGGGGATACAGTTTAAAATACTGAAGTTTTACATTTTTCAAATACTTAGCAACAAAAGGTACAACACTTTCACGAATATTTACATAGTTTTTCATGCAAACTATGAGTCTTGTGTTGTCCCAAACACAGGGTGTGAGGCAAAGTTGTTGCCACCGAGCACATACTTTAACTACACTCAGCAATGACTCAAAGTCAATCATAGAAAATATATAAATAAGTATCTCATTCGGCAAATCATTTATGGTCAGATAATTGGTAAATTGTACATCTGTCATCTCGAGGTGCACCATCCTCAGAATGAAGAATCCAAAATTTTTTTGACCTGCAAATAAATTGAAGCGCGTCCAATAAATAAAAAAAACAGGGAAATTATCATAAAGAAACTATTAAAAATCACAGGTAAATAATAAAATTACATAGGTCATAGACCTTGAACATTAGTTATTCACAGACAGTTGATCAGATTTTTCGTTAAATACATGAAATTTTTAGGACAAACGAATATTTTGTTACCTGATAATCAATTGCCTTCCTAAACAAGAATTTTTTACATTTTGCTGTATTAAAATCATAATTTTTAACTTCGTTCTAAATATAGTCACACTTTCTCATGGAAGGAGTACTTGAAAATTGAAATAAATATGTTTCAGGGATGAAACCATTTTGTTAAGTTTAATTTTCAATAAAATTATTGTTTAGTACGTTTATTTAAAAATAACTTTCATCTTTACGCTATTTTTGTACTGTGTGACGTTATGGTAACTTCACTGAGGCGCCACCAATCCACAATAAAACTATTTTTGACAATGACAGATAGGTATCAGGGAGGAGCCTATATCGGAACAGCTCCACGAAACAGGTTTCAGTATGAAAAAAAAACAAAATGGATTAAGTCAGAGGTTCACTGGTTCACACACTCGAGGCTCGGACGATAATATCGGATGCGTTATTGCGATATCGGTTTAGCACATTATGTATTAAGATGGCTACGGAGGAACTCATTGCTGCGATGAAAACGTTGCAATGGATATATGACAAAATATCATAGGCTTGATGTGATATTCTGTTATTAATATAATTGTTGTTCAACTTAAAATTCATTATCTTTACTCAAATCTACTGGTTATTGGAAGATAAGTAATATTTAATAATTCGAGCGAGTGCATGTAATGTTTTTCAATCCAGTCTTAAGAAAATAAGAAAACACTAAAGATTAGGCTTATGGACACTCATAATATGACCATAAGCCTAATCTTTAGTTGTTTGTATCTGGGAGAACTGAAATGAAAAGTGTCATGGGACACTCGGCGGGAACCAAGTTAAAAATAAACATAAGTTAAGTACCTACTTCCAACGAGAAGAGATACAAAGGGTCATTAGCCTATGCAGGGATAGGCAATATTTTTCAATACCTCCGTCGCGTTTTAAACCACTCCAAACGCTGCAAAATCGTATGTTGCGCGGTGCCACGGGTTGCCCGTGGTACGTGCGCAACATCGATTTGCATCGCGACCTCAAATTAGACTCCATCGCGAAGTAAATATATGAAGGACGCCTCGAGGCGTTACTTCGATAAAGCCGCGCATCACCCGAACCCCTTAGTAGTAAAAGCGAGTAGTTATCATACGTCCGCCCTCCCGTCCTCCAATCGTAGATCCCTCCGATTCCGTCGGCCTAGGCACGTCTTAGACTACCTCGACGACGAAATCACACGCACCAACGCGCCTCCGATTCTTCCCACACAAGCCACAAACACCAACACTACACAGCTAGCAAACGTGCACATTAGCTTAGCATTAGGCAGACACCGCACCCGTAGGATAAGAGTGCGAAGACCCGGTCTACACACGACACGCTATACCAGGTACAGGTACGTACCTGGGCGTTTTTCCCCGCCCCCCACGATAACGGCTAACTAGAGCCGAGGTCCGAGTCTCAGACGCCCTCTAGTTGAGCCGACCCCCTCAGGTTCGAGTGGTCTGGAGGCTCCAGACGGAGAGGAGTCTCCCCCCATGAGGAGACGCCATCCGACTGGAATACCTCCAGAGGCACTCGTCAATTCTTGGCTTGAGGTCCCCTTAGGATCTCCCCGTCCCCAAGCCCGGTGACGCTGTAAAGGTCATCTGCCACCAACACACTCAAAAAAAAAATTTTTTTCAAAATAACCTTTTATTTACAATATTTAACATAGGAATTTTATCATTTTAATAGGCATCGGTGTATTAAATAAAATGTAGAAAGTTAAAATTCAAATGCCGATTCTAAAACTTAACAACAATTCAAAGAACAAAAATTATAAGTTACTACCACTAGTAAGTAGTATCGGGAAGACGTGGAACAAAATGAAAATATGTAATTTTTTTTAATATAAAATGGGTGAAGACGAACTTGTCGCCGATCATGTCACATGACCAAGCGAGACCTAATGCCATTTAAATGAGATTCTGTGGCTTTCTCAGTTTTACACAGAAATTTCGCCAATGTCCAGTAGTGTATATGAGATGTAAGAGATAGTTACTAAACTATCTAATCAGATAGTGATGTCGATTCTGGCATGATTCTCTAAAGCTAAACTTAAATTTGACAATAGTGCATCCTTATCATTCTCTATACAGAATGAAAAGGAGAGACTGATGTTAAATTTAGTTTTAAGTTTAGAGAATCACGCCAGAATCGACACCACTATTAGTTCTTTTTGTTTGCATAATTTAACATAAGAAGGAGATAGAAAGCCTCTCTTGAGTTTGTTTCGCCGGTTCTTCTCAGGAAGGTCTCCCAATTTTGGAACCGGTGGTAGTTTACGGTAGTTAGGGTCAAATAAATAAACTCAAAATTACAAACAAGAATTTTAAATAAAATACTTTATTAAGTAAATTAAATAATAAATTCATACATAGACAATAAAATTTTAAAAATCTTCCAATGAAATAACCGAACGCTCAATATAAGTCTTTCGAAGGTAGCTCGACAATTTTAAATAAAAAATCATTATTCTGACGATGCAGACCTGAAAAGGCTGCGAAACGTCAATAAATAAATAAAGTTTCGTGCATTAACCCGTAAAAACTAGTTTTATATCCTACTATTTTTCATCACAATTTCACAGCTAGCCTTTCCGAAATTAAAACCATTGGTTTTAATTTTAGGAACACTTTCTAAAACCGTTCCACAGTGATATTTACAATCATAAGCTAGGCTATTATTTTGTAACAGTAGTCTGTTACTGATATACTTGCTACAGCAACCGGTTTCAAAAAGTTTTTTTTCGTTGGGTGAAGGAATCTTCCAATTTAAAATTTTATATCCTTAGTTTGAAAGTCGCAGTGCTCGACTACCTGATCTTCTCTAGGAATTTCCCGACATCGTCGAGCACCACAATCGGACGATATCCCGATGGGGAATCGGCCGGGCGGTCTTCCTTCCTCAACAGGCAGAGCTCCCCCATCTTCCAACGCCTGGGGAAGCGGCCCGCGGCGATGCTGGTGTATAGCACCACCCGGAACCGCTCCTCCAGGACCTTCGCAAGGACCCCATCTAGTCCGGGCGCAGTCGTTTTGGCCTGGAGTCGGTCCCTCACTACGTCAAACTTCACGTACGACTAGGGGGGGCAGCCGTGGTCAACGGCTCCGACGAGGTGGGGGGCATATCCGCCCACGGTTGGAATTTTGTGAGCGCGTACCTGGGAATCGCGTTCACATTGGATATCAAGGAGATCGTATCTGATATACAAGACAGGGCTTCCTTGTCCTCCACTCGCCAGTCCTCACGACTGGCCAGGGGCAGGAGGGAGGGGCGAAGGTCACGTCAACCACTGACGTGCCTTGCCACAAGACGCAGGTCGGGATGTTGGCGACGTAAAGATCCGGAGTCCCATGGGACTCCTTAATTAGGGAGAGATCCTTCCAGCCAGGTCCCTAGATCTGTACCCCTTACATTGATGATAGTTGACCCCCACGCAGTTGATTTGGAGTTGAGGTCACTTGCTATTAGCACCGGAAAGGGGGCCGCCTTCAATTCGCCCGACAACAATGACAACAACCGACAATTCGCCGGGAGAAACATGTGGACACCACCACAATTCCCCCCCCCCCCCCCCCCCCCACGATGCGGCTACATAGCCAGCACCAGCATTTCGTGTTCTCGGAGAGCAGCATTGACTCGTTGAGCTCGATGTGCGGGCGCATTATCGTCAACCAGTACAAATTGGTGCCCATGATTTGAAAGGTCTGATTCCATCAAAAGCGACTATTTGTATCTGTCTGCCTTCATGAAGCTTTGATAAGGGATTAAAGGCATTCTAGCCCCAATCATAATACCACCCCAAAAGGACACTGATTTCCCGCCTTGCTGAATCGTTCCAGTGGACGTTCTTTGCCTTTCATAGTCTCCAGGTCTTCTCTAAACACGGACACGTCGGTTATCTGGACGAGTACTGATTCGCGATTCGTCAACGAAGAGGCAGTTTTGCCAAATGTTTTCCTCTTAGTCTTCTTAGTTTTGCCGGAGCCTAGCCCTCTGTAATCTCCGTCGCTGACGTTCCCGTGAATTCAAAGGTGCTCGCCAAGACCTCCGTACTCGTAATCCAGCCTTGTGTTCTGAGTGCTAACTTCAAGTCCGGAGGCGGTCCGTATTTCTGCTTTTAATTTAGTGGCGTTTATTGTTGGGTCGCGGGCTACCAGCAACCTGATGTTGCCCTTCTGAGCAGCTGTCAAAACAGTTGGGCGACCGCTGCGGCGTCGATCAGCTAAATTACGCATGCCGTGGTACCTCTGCAACGTAGGTTATTACACAGGATTGGGATATGGCAACTCTACGTGCTATTTCTCTCGTAGAATAGCCTTCTTCCCTCAAAGTAGCAATTCTGGCTCGTAAAACATCTGATAATCCTCGTGTTTTTTTTTAAATTACAACTTTCCATAAAAAAATATTTTAAATCCGATAATATTGACTAAGTCAGATTTCTGGACGAGTGTCAGCTTGGATTGCATTTCTTTTTATATGGAAAAACAATTGAATTATTTATGTGTATCAATACAAAACTTTGACGTTTTAATCTTAATGTTAGTTCCGTTTTTCGCCACGCCCATTCTCTTTCCGCACAGACTCTACTGAAATGAAGATATACACTGTAACCACCACCTTCACTATTTCACTGCAGCCACAACGGACGTAACAAGAACTAAAAATCAGTACACAGTTATAACATTTTGGACTGGCAATCTATTCGAATTCGATAATGGTTCGTGCTAAGGGTACTGTACCCCTAGCACGAACGAATATTGAATTCGAAAAGTTTGAGAGTCCGAAAACTTGACCAGCAACGCCACAGAGGACGTAACGAGAACTTCGATGAGTACACATTTGACAATGACATTTCGGACTCGAAAACTATTTGATTTCAATATTGGTTCGTGCTAGGGTACTTACTTATTCTCTAATATTAGTTGTCATAGTACTAAAATCAATAAAAAAATAAAATTAGACATTGGGATCAGAAAAATACTTAGATAAAAATATTTTTTAAAATAATTAAATACTTTTCATTAAAC